ACAGATGAACGCACATTCGAGAAGAATATACATTAAGTGAAGTAACGCGAGCACTACAATAACACATTTTTATTTAGAATAAAGGCGAAGGAAATTGAAATAATTTAGAAAAAATGGTTCAACCTCAGTCGAACGTTAACTGTAATACTGAACAAAGCCACGTCAACAATCGCACCGAAGGCAAGGATTTATTCGCTCGCTTATGTAATGTTGAAGCCGAAAATCAACAGCTTCGACTTCATAACCGCTGCTTACAAGAGGAGAACGCTTGGCTGAAAGATCAATTACGTCATGCACAAGAACGTTTGAAAACTTTGGAAAGCAAACCGGCCACAGTTGAAGAAGACGAAAAGCGAAGAAAGTTTAAGTTATTATTGCAAAACAATGAAGATCTCAACATTGACAAGAAAGAACCATCCGCGAGTCATGCCTATCCCATCATGTTACAGCATACTGCACCAGAGGGACATGAGATACTAGAAAATCTATATGAGCAAGCTTCTTCCACTTTTAGGAAGTCGAGAAGCGAAAACGAAGACCGCAAAGTGACCCACTTAAATCTATTAGCCTTACATTCTACAGAGCTCGGAGATTATGACGAAGCCTCCAACCTTTTAGAAGATTCTGTTGACATACAAAAGGACACGTGCGGTCAATTTCATCCCGTTGCGATGGCTACTTTAAGCAATTTGGCGATTGTTTATAGTAAATGCGGTCACTTTGAGAAAGCTGAAGCTACGGCATTGGAAATCGTAGCCATAAAACAAAAATTGCGTGGCGCAGATCACTTAGACGTGGCATCACATTTAAGTGACTTGGCTTCATTCTGCCAACATCAAGGCAAATATGAAGACGAGCGAATGTATCATCACCGCGCCTTGCATATATACGAATCTCAACTGGGCAGTAACAATGTTTATGTTACATACACGAAATTGCTTTTGGCCAAGTGTCTTGTGAGGCAGGAACAATTCGAAGAGGCTGACTACTTCTACAAAGAAATATTGATGAAGGCTTACGAAAGAGGCTATGGCTTCGTTGACGATTCGTCGGCAACCATTCAGCAACAGCAAGATGATGAAACCGTTGAAAGGAATGTAGCGAATAAGTTTTGGTTTAAGAAGGCGAGTATAAATTATCCTACGATCAGCGAGACTTTGCTCTACATGTATGACTTATATTTGCGTAAAACAATATTGTAGATCTTTAGTTAAGAATAGCATGCGATTTTTTCATTACGTCGAACAATCCTTAAAAATAAACCTACGACAACTTTAGTTTGCGTTTTGTTTTCAATTCAATATTTTGATGTTCAATCACTTAGTCAATTAATGGCAAGCGTGAAAGTGAAGGTACCTTACTTATGAAATTAAAATGAAGCGGGCAATAGCGTGTGGTAACGACAATTCAACCAAAAAGTAATTCTACCATGGCTTGGTTTCATTCGCTTAGCTTAGAAAGGGGTAGAGAGTTTATGCTATCGTTTAAATGCAAAATTTGGAATAACTGTAGTATTCTACTTTGCCGAAATAATATTGAATTACAATACAATTGTAATACAATAAATGTTGCTTAGGTTGCGTGTCCATCGGTTCATCGGCATGTTGAGGACATGTGTTTGTAATAAGTCGAAAGTAGCGGCTAGGTAACATTTCCATCAGTTATAATTTGTGTAAAGACGGCCACTATCCGCCTAGAAGCGAAACACAAGAACTGTTAAAGAACTTGAGAAAACTTTAATCTGGAATCAAAAGCTTGTGGCCTTGACATATGACAGAATTAAAGTTTTGTACAAATGTTTTATGAAAACATCTTAAAGTCACAATAAAGCCAAACTCTTGCCGACCATCAAACTCAGACAATTTTTTCTTGCATGTGCAATTCCTTAACAGGCAAACCAGTCATAGATGCATTATCGTAAGAATTCACACGTTGCTCAAAGGGTAGCGAGACAAACGCAAGCAAATGATAATCGGGAGGACTCGACTTTAGTGAGTAAGTCAGATGGGCTAGCAAATCCTAGTTGACTGCTTCCAACTTATGGTGAACCGATTTTGTACTATGGGCGCATGAACGGATGTCATGTGAAGAAATTGTCTTTCTTGCCTCTTTTCATATTTCCTCGAATCGTTCAAGTCGATTAATTATTGTTGCAGTTTGTTATGAAACGTCTCACTTTTAGACTTTTTTTTTAATATGACCAACGACTCAGAAGATTCTCCATCTACGTGTAGCGCGGTGAGGGACAGACTGGTCTTAGGAAAGAGAAGGCGCAGGGAGCGGCTATAGCTTAATGGATGAACGCCTCGCCATTTTCTTTGCTAGTAAATATATATTTTCGCTTGTGACATGTGTTGGTATTGTGATCGTCTATTCTTGCCAGATATGAAAGCTATAAAAAAAAGCATAACCTCAGTCATGTACGTCGGTTACACTTGATGTTAAGGCTATGCGTGGATAAATTTCAGTTTCATGGTTACATACCTGTTTTACTTTTTTACTCTTTTTCGTTTATTATTCAATACATTTAAAGGCATTTCTGCCAATCAATTATATAAAAGCAAAAGCCGAAGAAGACATATTTATAATGGAACTCGTTAAAACTAATGTCCATCCATTGTAGTCATGGAAATCATTCTTATTACAACTTGTTGATATTTCATAATCAAAATGGCATTTTATGTTTTGATTGTTAACTAAAAGCATTTAAAGAAAAAAGAGAAATGAAAAACGACAAAAAACAAATTAAAGATAATAATAATAAGATTGCAAGGTTTACACTTCAGAATAGAATGGCATGAGAAAAGAAAGAAAACAAATTGTAAAGGAAATAAATGGAATCATATTTCATATGAAAGATAAGATAAGAAGAGATAAGAGGAAGTCGACGGAAAGTTAAAAAGAGAATAACGGAAATTCATAAGAAAGAAAAAAAAAAAAAAAAAGAAATGATTCCCCACTCAACAAAAAACGCAGTAAAACTTTAATAATAAAGTAATTAATTAAAAAAGCTTATCAGAGAAGTATATAGAGGAGAGAGAGAGAGAGGAGAATGAAAATTTCATTTTCTCTTCTTTTTTTTTTTGTCCAATCATTGTGCATATATCTGTGTGACAGAGAAAAAAGATGGGTTTTTACTGCAGTTTCTCTACATTCTCTTTACCTCTTGTTCTATTTATGATATCTGATAATTATTTGATAAATATTATGCTCATATTTTCCTATCTCTCACTTCAATACAAAGATTTTCTTAACATCTTATCAAGAGATGTCGTATCATTCTTAACAAAAAATAAATATTAATCAACGTCCTACTAAAACGTTCAAGCCCTACCGTTAGCAAAAATATTGTTAAACATTTAAAGAAAAAACAACAACAAAAATATATAAGAAAATTGTATTCGCTTTCGACCGAATCTTCTATACCGCTCATCGTTATCCTAAAAAAGACAAGAGGAAAAGGAAGCGTTTGTATTCTATAAGTTTGGATGAGCATGACTGCATTTTTATACCGTTTGTGTTTATTGTAGTTTATGAGTAACGAAAGTGAAAACTGCGGAAACTTAAGTCCTTTAAGCCGTTTGTCTTCATTTCTGCTTATGAGATACTATTTACTACAGCTGCTACACAAATCGAGAGATGGACAGATGGACAGACGAAAACATAGAAAAGTTTAAATGCGTGTAAGTTTTGACACTAGTGACATTGAAGGTTGTTTCCGATCGTTATAGAGGTTTAGACAAAAAAACCGAAATGTGGATTTACTATAATCCTGGATAGGTGTGGCCAATATTTTCATTTTTTCCAAAAGTGTTACAGCATCACCCACTGAGTTTAGATTGAAATTCTTATAGGTAGTTTGTGCGTGATCAACAAAAGATCAATCTTTTCTCCTTTGGAAAGTAACGGTGGTCTCAAGTCACTTAGAATAGTAGACGTCTCCTTTGACCAATTTGGCCCATTTGCAATACTAAACTGCGTGCAAGAACTTCCAAGGTTTATAACAGACTTTACACATACGGACAACCTTAAGTCGATTCAGAATTCTCGAAATCTTGATTAACATTAAATATATATATATATATATATATATATATATATATATATATATATCTCTAAAGTTTCCTTCCGAGTGATGCAAATGACAAAACGAATAGGTCGCTCTTCGATTGGTGACAGGTATGAAAATACCAGATTGTCAGCAAAAAACTCTTACCCCGGAGCCACAAAACGCTTCTAAAAATGTCTCATAGTTTGCTACATAAAACTTGTATTTGATTAATACGTTTTTAGTATGTGTCGCATGTTGGAGGGAGCAAACTCACCCATCCACCGAACTCCGCCTTCGTCTGCACATATGTGAAATAAATCTTAGATAATAGGAAAAAATGAAAAAGAAAATAAATACACATGTCTAACATTTGTATTGTCATAGAATAAAACAGTAAACACAGTAATAACAATAACAACAAGCATAACAATCAGAATAACAAATAAAATTGTTGTTAAAGCAAAACTCTATTTATCTACGTTGGAGTGCATTGTGCATATTGTTAACCTAAGTCGGTATAACAAATGCTAGATATTCGTAACCAAATTGCTTTTGTTATTGCTATCAATGGTATATCTGACCAATACCTACTGCTAAGCTTTTGAATTAAATCTATTGAAAATCAGGTGTTGTTATAGTTGAAAACCAATTCACACACGCGCCCATCCACATTAATATTGATAAAGATTTATTCCAATTCTATTTATTATCAAAATTAAACGATACGCGTACTTGTATGCCCTTTTAATTCAAGTATTTTCATAACATTTTATAATTATTATGACATGATTATATAATTATTGTTGTTATGTTGTTGGGAAATTCACACATTTCATTAAATAACTTTATATGAAAAATACTAACTTAACTATCTGCTGAAAAGTACCTTCCCCAAGATATTTAAAAAGTAATTAAATTAAATAAAGCTTTACCTAATTCAATGTGTATTCGGACTAACATATAATGCACGAAAGGGAATTTTACGTAACTACATTGTTTTGGACTTTTACTTGCCCGCATATATGGTATGCAATTGAACAAACATATTTTGTACCGGAAAGATTAAAATTTCCATTCAATCGGAAAGAACTTTAATAACGAGTACAGTGATCCGGCTATGCCGCATCGGCTTGTTCCAAGTATTCTAATTCTATATCGAAATGTTATCAGCAGTTTTTGCTCCAAATCACAATAGCCGATGCTTTTTATTTCAATTCAGATAGATTTCCCTTATCGTACTAAGGTAAAATCCAGTTAATTCAATTTTTACTTCTGTTACTGGCCCAGAAAGCACTATTATCGAGAAGTGACAATAGAAAATAAAATCTTCCTTCCCACTTAACGTATGTGTGCGCTATTCGATGGTTTCTATGTTCATCATTCGTCAAAGAGCCAAACATGTCGCCCAGCCAGTTCACACAAATGATGTCCTATCTGAGTATTGCAACACATTGTATCTTTACAGGTTTTAACGATCGCCTTCGGATATAAATTTGCGGACTCTCGTTTATCACATTGGTCTCCTATAGAACAATATGCAAAAATAAAAGAGTGGGAGCAGAACAAACTTGTGAGTTTGGTCCTCACCGTATGTATATGTGTATCTAGATAATTTGTTGTACTTAAATGCAGTGGTATATATAATTTTCATTCGACGATCCATGTTGTTTGTACGGAGGATTGTATCTAGAATGAGGAAATGCAATTTTCTTTTCCTTTACACCGCACCTTGGACTTTGCCGACCAACTAATATGACTTCGAATGTGATAGTTCTCCCATTTTCCATATTGGTTCTCTATAGGCTGCTGGTATGGAATTTAGTTTTCGCCATACATATATGAGTCATATAACACCATAACAGTTTTTTAACTTCAAGTTATGGAAAACTAAAAGAACTAAGCGAATGTCTAGCGGGCCAATCAACAAACGTGAAAGTGAAAATCAATGTATAGATGTATGAAAGAATGATCAGTTATATTGCCACCGAAATCACAGCAAATTTTGTTTCGTCAATGACAGCAGTAATCTTCGAAAATCAACGTCCACAGCGAGATAAGCATTGCATATAACAAGCTTGCTTCGCGCAAGCAATCATCGATACATCTTTCAAAAATCGAATTCAATTAGCATTTTGTAGAAAATTCAATATT